AATGTACGAGGGTGCTCCGACCCGAGGGTATTCTCTCTTACTTCCCACACTTTACGATGCAGCCGTTCAGCTTCTCTGTATTTGCCCATGGTTCTCAAAACCTCTGCAAGATTATTCATCGATGTCAACGTCAGAGGGTGCTCTGGTCCAAGAGTCATTTCTCGGGTTTCCAACACTCTACGATGCAGCTCTTCAGCTTCATTGTAGTTGCCCATACTTCTCAGCACCTCAGCAAGATTGTTCATCGATGTCAATGTACGAGGCTGTTCGGGCCCATGAGTACGCTCTCTTGCCTCCAAGACTGCACGATGCAACTGCTCAGCTTCACTGAAGTTGCCCTGTTGTCTCAAGACCTCTGCAAGATTGTTCATGCAGGTCAACGTACCAGGATCTTCAAGGCCGAAGGTCCCCTTGGATTCCTTCAGCATCTTCAGCTGCGTTCTGTGCAGCTGCTCTGCTTCAGCATAGTTGCGCAGTTTTTTGAGCACCAATGCCAGCTCGTTCATCGAGGCCAAGGTAAGGGGATGTCCAGGACCCAGATTATCTTCTGGGGCTCGGGCTTCAATCACTCTTCGGTGCACTTGTTCAGCTTCTGAATAGCTACCCATACTGTCTAGGACTACTGCAAAGCTGTTCATGGATTTGCAGGTCCGCGGATGCTCCGGACCTAGAGCCTCGACCGAATTCTCTACCACTCGACGATAAAGCTCTTCAGATTCACTGAAGCGGCCCAAGCTTCTCAGCACCTCTGCCAGTTGTTCCATCGCCACCAAGGTGTGCGGATGGTCCGGCCCTAAGCTCCGGTCCAAGGCTTCCAGCTTCTCTCGGTGCTGTTGTTCCAGCTTCTGGAGCGGAGGATGGAGCAAACCATTGAGGAACTCTCGGAATCGCACTGGCCATGCTAGGGGGGAAATGCAAGGGCAGCACCATTGCACCATGGCGCTAAAGCGCAGCCTGTGGAAAAGAACCTGGAGTCATCTGGTGTCTTTGTGACTTGAGGGCACACCTTGACAAAGCCACCATTTTTCACTCGCGAAAGCAAGCGAGTTCGGATTTAGGTCTTTTATCCCCTCCACCTAGAGGATTCGGGTCAGACCGGAATCCATCTTCTGTCTTTGGACCAAACGAATGCAACATCATGCAACACTCCACTTTTATCTTTTGAGGTCGTCTTCATGTGAGGTCCTCTAACCGCAGTCAGGTTCCGTCTCAAAGCCAAGGTCGGCCGTGCGTGACTCCGCACAAGAAGTCACAAGGCATCAAGTTGGGAGTCCTTGTTCCGTTCGGTTCGCGATGCCCGAAATGCTCCGTTCGTAGCGTCCGAACGCTCCGTTCGTAGTAAGGCCAGGAGCCCCGAACGTAGCTTCTTGTAGTAGCGATGCTCTTCAAGGTTCCCACATGATTGTGAGTGAATGATGCAACACTGGAGGTGTTCAATATCTGAAACGCTCCTGTCTGGGGGTCCAAGGGTGAGCGGGGCATGTTTGTTGTGTGACCTGGTTCGAGGGTCCATGACATCGAAAGTGAGTTCTGTCCACCCATTGAAACTTGTACGGCTATGTTGAAACCTCGGCCTTACACTGGAATCATCATGCCAAGCGGAAAAAACGGCCTCCTTTTTCCCCAAACAAACAGGCTGACTGGTGCTTAGTAGGGAATAAGGGAATGAGCCCCCAATAGAGATTCTGGATCCAGCCACATCCAGCCACCCTCATTCCCTGCGAGTCGCACCAGTCAGCAGGTGTCTTTCCACATGCCATGACTATTTCTGCTTATGCCTTTCCTGCATGACTAGCGAGACCCGACTCCCCAACCCGCCAACCCGTGCGTCTGGGATCCATGTGAGGCGATCGAGGATTGTCCTCCAACGGCGACAAGCCATCGATTCCACTACACGCACTAGTACACTCGATCCCACCCAAATAGCGAATATGTTTTCCATTGAGATCCCGCAAACCCTTCACTGATTCACAACGAAACCCGTCTCCGAGAACCGGGACCGGGTCATCGCGGGTCTCTTCGGTGAAGGTCGTGTCAGATCACCCGGGTCATCCCGAGCCTCTTCGGGATCACATCGTCCACGCGAGGTCGATCACGCGAGGTCGGTCGCCGGGATGTCAGATGATCTGCGTTGTACAAGTACGAGCGAAGATGTTGTTGGAGGTTGTTGATATGTAGAGCTGGAGAAACTCCACGGTTTGTCCTGAACACTTTTAGAGAACCTGATAGTGCAGCTTGCAAGCTTGGACTGAGAGTAGCTTCTCTGCGAAGATGGAGAACATGACATTTTCCATTTTTACATGTTTGCATGGCTGAATCCATTTTTTGGGATGCCTTTTTTGTCTGACCCACAACCTTTGGTTTTCTTTTCTGAATCTTTCTTTTCTGAACCTTTCTTTTTGACCAACAACCTCTCTTTTTTGACCCACGACCCTTCTCCTTTCTTTGTGACCAACAACCCTTTTTTTAACGCACGACCCTTCGTGTTTCCGGGTGGTAGATTTGGAGACAACGTTTTTTTAATGTCGACCATGCTCCAGAAACCATCAAAGACCTTGGGCGGGCCAACCTTTTTTTGGACAACTCTTGAGTTCTTCCCATGATTCTGCGGCAGGTTTTTCCTCTGGAAATTGGCACAGTTTCTGCTGGACGCACAGCAACCAAGTGGTGTGAGCCACGCAAGGTTTCTTGCAATGGAGTATGTGAGCATGGGCTGTTGACGATGGCGAGTCTGAAGTAGTGTCAGGTCCGAACATTTGACAAGTGAACAAAGCTTTTGCCGGGGAGCGTTGCGAAGGGTTCTTTTGTAGAAATGGAACTATCTTTCTGGCATAGAGCTTCACTTCACATGCAGGCTAGCAGCTACATTTCGAGCTTGCACGCGTTCTACCAGACACTCAGGACCTATACAGCGGCATTTGTATGTATCCTACAAGTACATCTGCAACTTGCGTGCGTGGTCTTCTAAACCTGCTGCTACGTACGGAGGTGGACATTCATTTGCAAGTTATACAGCTGCAGCTGTATGTATGCTACAATAGGTGTGCTAGAAGCACATTTGCAGCTTGCAGGTATGGTTGTGTAGAGCTGCTGCGACGCTAGCATTGCTTTGGTGCTGGGATCTTGCTTTGGTGAGTTGCTTCGGCGCTGGGATCTTGCGTGGGTGGGTTGCTTTGGTGCTGGATCTTGCTTGGGCAACTTTCGCTGGGGTGTTGCTTCAGTAAACACATAAGCAAAAGCAAGCATCTGTTAAATTAAAACAAAGAGTAAAACATATGTTTGTTCGCGCGTGCGTGATCTATCTCGTCTTTCTTAGCCGGGGGCTGGCCGGACAGGGCATGCGAAACGTGACTGGAGATCGCCCATTTGGTTATGTCATACTTGTTTGCTGAAAAATACAAATACGGTAAAAAGAGGAGACATACAAAATAGACCAGCAGACAAGAAGAGAGTAGAAGAATGTAATTAAGGAAGAGAAAAGGACACAGGGGGAGAAGATGAGAAGGAGATACGGAGAGGATAGGATGAGGAGAGCACGAGAGAAGGAAAGAAGGAGACATGGAGAAAAGGACAACAAAGAGTTGAGCACACGCTCACACACGGAACCAAACTCTCTGTTACTTGTAACCTCACTTCCTGCCTGGCTTTTGGCTCATGCGGCGCTCAACGCACTCACCCGTTCCGGGGGAGAGAAGTGGCTTGTGGCCCCACGTCTGAACTTCATGGTTGCCCTCACAGCTGCATATCATTATTCGGCACATGACTTCATATGACTTCACATCTGCATGTCTTTCAATCTATGTCTTGTCATATCACCGCAACACGTTTCACTAGCATTTCTTTTCGCTTTCCCTCTAAGCTCAACACCCCAGCGTGATTCTTCAAACTTGAGTTTCTGCTCTCTCTACTCACTCTCCATCTCCAAAGAATAGTTTTGGGTCAAAAAAGAAGGGTTGTGGGTCAAAAAGAAAGTCAAATTAGACAGATTAGGTGGTCAGAAAAAAACGTGTGTGGGTCAAAAAAAGGGTATGGTGGTCCAAAAAAATCAAAAAAGAGGGGAGTCCCCCTTCTTTTGGGTTCAGCCCAAACGCCCAGTCTTTGTTTTCTTTCAATAGAGACACATGTTACAAACCTGCTGGGAAGAGTTCCTGGACACTGCTTGGAACCAGGTCCCACTCGGGCCTGGCCGGATCGGAGACTTGGCCCTTCAGCTGCTTTGCGCTGCTTTGCCCCTTCTCACCTCGAGAGCAGCTCGGCGGTGCGGCATCGCTAGGAACGTAGCTTCTTTCTACTAAGTAGTAATGGCCTGGAAACTAGTAGCTTCTTGCTACTACCAGTAATGGCCTCCACCCTAGTAGCGATGGCCTGCCACCGGGCCTCGCTTCTAGTGCCTGGGTCCCGGTGGGTGCAACATGGATGAGAGAAAGTGAGTCTTTCTCAGACGTGTCTCCAAAAACGGATCCCAGAATATATATATATATTATATATATCTAATATTGTTTAATGATATCTTTGCAGTCAACATATGCGAGCTATGTGGGCATGAAGTCACTGGGGTCACCGTATGTCAGCCACGCACCACCTGCAGCAGTGGCCCAAGCTCCAAGCTGCAAGCTGCTGCCCAAAAGCACCCCCAGGACGTCCGCACAGCCGCACGGCATTCGATGGCGAAGCGGAGATGGGGCGCAAATAAAGATACACCCACTTGACAGGTCAATGGTGATGTTTACGGGTCGGATTTGGTTTGAGGCACAATCGCTTTCAATATGAACAATTGAAGAATATTGAAGCTTCATCGTTCACTATTGCATTTAATGTGCTGGGACGAGCCGTCAAGGAGTGTTCTTGTAGAATCTGAATTATTCATTCTACTGGAACATGCTTGACTTAGAACTCGTTCAGATCAATATGTTCATCATGCGCCTGTGCCAAAAGTTTCCACAACTCTCCGTCCTGTTTGCCACTCGCCCAGAAGCACCAGCTCGACATCACGCGCCCGCCTCCAGGATCGCCTCGCGCGAGGCGTTTTGACCTCCGCGGACGCTTCGAGTCATCGATGACTCTCCAGGATGGGCTCCATGGTGGTGGGTGGTCCAACCTACTAGCGATGGCCTCCAACCTGGGGGGGGGGGTTGGGGTGGGATGTTTTTTCAAATGTCTTTATTGCTCCGACTCTGGGTTCCTTGGCCATCCCCCAAATTTGCATGGGTGTGACGTGGGTGTGACCCACAAAGAGACCTCTCCAGAGGAGGAACAAGTTGTGTTAAGACAAACATATCTATAAGTTTGAAGGTCTCCCTATTCTAATGGTGCCCACCCACATCTGACTATAAGTAGATGTTTCTTTAGTAGCTTTCTGTTTTAGACAAAAAGGATATCATCCCTAGGGATCCAAGTACCTTCTCAGGAGGTGATTGGAGACACTCTTATGTAGGTTTTCAGGGTCCAAGTGCCTTCTGAGAAGGTACGACTGGATCCCTAGGGAATTGAAGTGTTGTAAGACCTCAAAAGGATCAGACGCCACCCCCCGGAGCATGGACCTATTCAGAACTGGTCTTGAGGATCCGCTCTTGACCTACTCCAAAGTGACTGGGATAGTCTGGGTGTTGGAACCCAAACGTGAAAACGTGTGAGTGGCGCAACATGGAGTATCTACTCCATGCTCCCATCCACTTGTTCGAGGACTTGCCTAAAGTTGCCAAGAATCAATTGTTGCTAACAAGAATCCATTGATTTGTCTAAGGTTCGACCGGTGGCTTCGGGTTCTCCAGCTTCGACAGGGTGGAAGTCAATCGAGTCCGCCCTGGACTCGACGGCTCCGGCCTAATCCCTTCAACTTCTGCTCGAGGGCCTGGCAACGCTACGACGACCTTCGGCGATGACGCGACGCCGCTGAAAGGGATCGATGGTCAAGGCTTACACTCCTTGGTCTACGACCTCAGGGGGGCAGGGTACCCTTTAAACAGCAAAGAGAACAATGCAGCGAAAAAATGCCGTATACAGGCTAGTCCTTTTCAGGTAGACTTGCAATAATACACCACTTGGAACATATACCAAAGCCTAGAACGCCCTAAGTGTACAGCAACTGTCAAGCATGTCCTTCTGTTCATTCATCGAATCCTCGGCATATCCTGGCACATCTCCTGACCACGGGCAACCGTTGCCCGAACAACACACCATGCCTGGCACCCCAGAACCCTTAACACGCCGGTTCCCGGTCGACCGGAACACCACACCGGGAACCCGGTCAACCACCGACGGGTCGGCCGCACCTCCACGGTCATCGGCCGCACCTGCCGGTGCTGGTGGAGACGTGTTGAAGTAGTTTCCCTCCAAAAGAGCTGCGATACACCACCACGGACAGCTACCAGCTATAGACTCTCTTTAGAATATATGCTTTTTGTGTATATAACTATAACTTCACTCAACAAACAAGAACCAAAAGGTCCCCGATCCGACCGCAGCTGCGAGCTCAAGAACAAAAAAGGTAATTCACTTCTTCTCTAAAAGATATTCACCAGAATGGTGATTCACAGGATTGACCCATCGGGGAACATCAAACAACTCACCCCTCAGTGGATCACCAGGTCTTCTGATCCACTGATCCAGTGAATCAGGGCAGTCTGACCACTGCTAGCTGGATTCACCAGGTCTTCGCTATCCACTTCTGATCCACTGATTTCGTTCTTATGGAGGCCATCGCTAGAAACGCTCGTACAGGCAACTGACTGGCAGTGCTACCCCAGACCATAAAGGCATTAGAAATCCCAATGGGGGACTAAGGCATGCTATTTGGTCCTTTTGTAGCTTGGAGGCCATTGAGACCCGCCGATCTCCGCCTCTGTGGCGGTGACCTCGGCGCGGAAGGCGGCGGCGCCCAGGTCCGGCTCCAAGCCTGGCGTGGGTTCGGCGGCCGCACCGTGCTGGTGGACGGTGTGGTTTAGCGGTGCGACGGGGGACGGTGATGGCCGCGACCGCATAGCTCCTGGTTCGTTCAGATTGGCAAGATGTGCATGTAAGTGTAAATGAAAGTTATAGTGGATGGTAAGAGATGTCGGAATATGCCGGAGAATGGTAAGATGTCCATTGAATTCTGCAGAATGACGCATCCCGGTGAAAAGCACCCCTCCAACAAGTTCCACCACTGGTACTCAGGGCGGTGACCGCTCAGCTGCTGATCTTGACCTGCCAAACGGACCTCTGACGTGAAGGGTCAAAGGACCCAAGTCGTAAGGAGAATGCATGATTCACATCCAAAGAACAAGGAAGCCAGGGCCAGGTTTTACTGCATATAGACTAGACTCATAGGGGAAACCACTTGACTGAGATGAAGTTCGGCAAATGATGGAGTATTATTCTCCGAGCCAGCTGATGGATTCCAGCCACAAAGAGCTGGTTGCTCACAGAAATCAAGTCTCTTGCCCGTCCTTAGATCCCCTGCAGGTAGTGAATTGTAGTGGGAGCCACCATAGGAGCAAATCCATTTCCATGTCACTTCAAAACGAATCTGGCGGGACAAGGCTGCCATCGCTAGTAGGTGGCTTCGGAGGCCATCGCTAGTAACTAGTAGCTTGGAAACCCATCGCTATAAGCCCGTCGGTCTCTCACCCTGACCTGGCGGTGGCGATGCAATGAGCATCGAAGCGCCGTTCACGCCGTTCCTGGCTCCGTTCCGCTGCCGCGTCCGGAAAGTCGGGACGTGGCTGATGAGAAGGAATCGGGGGGGTTTTGTGTAAGTACAGGCGACTTGGAAAGGACAAAGTATTCATAAGAGAACTGGTATTGATAGGAAGTATCTGAAAGGCTAAGCCATCAGCAAGGACTTGATTGGCGAGTTGAAGGGGAGATTAGTTGCAGAAGAAGCAGATTGAGGATGTTGCAGTAGAAGCAAATGGGGATGGCAGCATGATCAATAAGCCTCTCTTAGTTAATCAGATGGAATCTGAACATTGATTTGGTTGTGTGGCTCGGATGAACTGGGAGGGGGGTCTAACACCCACATACTACTTTCATTTTGGGTGAATGTTTGATCCTGTTGTGGCTCGGATTAACTAGGGAAGGTTTATTGTTCCTGGCTTGACATTGCCCAATCACCTAAATCGCAAAGCCTGGTCAGGACATCAACATATGATCCTTCTACTTGAGACTGTCTTAGAGCACCGACCATCCTCAGGAAACTGGAAGCTGAACAACTGAATTGTTCTAGGATTCCAATCTCATGCTCAAAAGGATGAACGCTACTAGGGGTTCGTGGAGGCCATCGCTCTTCCAATTCCAATCTCATGCTACATCTCAAACCTCCCCAGAGGCAAGTGGCGAGCTGCTGCGCAGGTGGCTGAACCGGATACGCTGAGGATGGTGGTGCGAAACAGGGGTGGTTGGGCCGTGGTTGGGTTTCGGAAGTGCTTCGGTCCCCAAAGGAAGACGATTCCTTGGATTTGCTTCCGGGTCACATGCCGAAAAAAGGCCATCTTCCCGACCAAAACCACAGCCAACAACTGGACTCCATTTTCTGCCATTTCCCATTTCAGTCCTCCCCAACACTTGGCCGAGATGCATCATTTGGTGTTTCACACACCCACGAACCCGCCCTCTTTCGGCCCTGTCTCTTCGTTCACGTCACTCGCAACTGGAGCCCAGCAGCCGCGAGACCGCGCGCGGTGTTTTCCTCCGGTTGGTACGGTGGGTAGTAGTTCAAATCACTGCACTCCCCTTGCACAGGACCAAGAGGAACTGATTCAGATTATCACTTTGTAGAGAAGTGAGCCAGAGATCCTGATGGCATAGCGGCATGGCCCATTGGAACGAAGATCTTCGATTCAAAGAGGGTCCACTTCCATGTGTTGACGGGAACAGGTGCGGCAACCAGACTTTTCAAACATGAGTCCAACCCGAAGAACTCCCAGCTGCACCAGTTGTTTCATTACGGCATCTGCATCCTGAAACTCGTGACCTGGGTGAAACTCCTGTCACCAACTTCAGCACCGTGAAACTTCCAGCAGTTTTTGGATCCACCCTTTCACGAGGTCCAGACCCCTCCGATCGACGCGGCCGTTGAGTTGGAGAACGGTGCCCGTATCGACGTGGGTGCACAGCACAGGGATGCACAGATGTTGGACCTAGGTGCCTAACGTTCCTCATGAAGCATCTGGAACATGTTCCTTTTGGATCCTTTTGGAGGAAAAAGTCCGAGGGTCTAAATTCTCATCGAAGGGCATCAGCGGAGGCGCCATCAGCCGATGAGATCAATTGATCGGCGCAAAAGACCGCTTCCCCCTGGTTCCTACTAGCGATGGCCTCCAAGCCTACTAGCGATGGCCTCCGACCTAATGGCGATGGCCTCCAAGCCTACTAGCGATTTCCTCCAACCTAATAGCGAGGAACATCTTGAAACAATAAAGAGGCGACCACTCCGTTCGCTTTCAGTGGAAAAGGCCACCTCGCGCAAGCGGTCTAATATTCCCTGCAATAACATGAACCTCACTTCTTATCATACAACAGGCCTTCAAAGTGACCTTTTGAGATCCCAGAATGAGGTCACTTAGTCTCTGAAGAGGTCACTTACAGAGACTCCAAAGGTCACTGTGCCATGAATGTCCAACCGATGCCTTGGACCCATTTTCGAAGGCGCAGGTCCACTCCTCCTGGACGCTGCACGAAGTAGTGGTTTTATGTGGTTTTCAGGGGACCGTTTGGTCCGTCGTCCAAAACGGGACGAAGCAAACACTCCGATGTGAGATGACGTGCCACCGATACCACCTGAGTCCCACACCACTTGCTCCGACACAGCACTTTGGTGCTGGAACCTCAGCGAAAAGGAGTGGCGTGCCCATTGACACCTGGAAACAGTCAGACTTGTGAGATCAAAACAGTTCTTCCTGCATGGTCCTGCAGGGTCTATGCTCGATCGTTCAGGTCAGGCCACAAGGAATGGATCAACTCCCAAGTACGGTTCTAGATGTTCTAGGTCTACCTGAACAGATCCATGGCCCATCTTGGGGAGGGTCCCTGCTAGGGTCACCCACTTCTGACCATGGATCCATGGTCTTTCAGTCAGTAGGCCCAGGTCTTGGTTGGATGTTCTAGGTCTTTCAGTTAGGCCCCTCACTCTCCAACCGATCCAACTCACTCTCCTCCGATCCAACTCGGACTCCGATCGCTCCGCTCGATCCGCCCATCCGGTGCCTCAAGGTGCCGAATCGCCCCACGATCCGACTCAACTCGTTGGCTTTTTGAACTGAATCGCTAGTGTCTGCCATGCACTGGAAGCCATGCACTATGTGGTCCATCTGAGTCCATCTCATCACAAATGTGGACGTCCTCGACGTAAAACGTCCAAAGCGCAGCGGGTCCGACGGATCTTTGGAGTCAGCCATCTTTCCATTTGGGATCCGTGTGGTCCCGGAATTTGGGGGACACCTGGTACTTTCCCATGAGTAGGTTGGAGATGGTTGGAGGCATCGCAATTCATCAATTAGGTTGGACTCGCTATTAATTAGGTTGGAGGTTATGGCTATTAATTAGGTTGGAGGCCAATCGCTGGTATGCTTCACCCCCAGCAGCCTCGACTCAAACCGACTCAACTCGACTCGACTCACCTGCCGAGCGTCCAAAGAGAGACTGGCAGAAGTGCCAGAGACATGAGCAAGAGTGGATTGGTCCGGGACCCCTGGCAGTGGATTCGGACGGTGGACGGTCTGGTTCCACACGCCGTTTCCGGTGGACTCGGCGGATGGGACGTCACCCGTGACCCGCAGCCGCAAAAGGAGGCGAACGGAGCGAGGATTCGATCGGCCACAGCTGAAGCACCCCGGGAATTCCATCGGATTCTATCGGGCATCGCTATGGTTCGTAGCTCAAAGCTACTGGGTCTTCCGTTGGCAATGCAAGCAATCCTGAGCTCCTTAGTGCACAGCCAGAAGACAGACTTTGGTGTGCGGTACCCGACCCCGACCCAGACACCCCACCCGCATTGAACCAGGTCTTTGGGAAGTGAAGACATTGGTGGATGGGGGTGGGAAGTAGCGATACCCTTGTTACTAGTAGCTTCTTGTTCCTAGTAGCTACTTGCTCCTAGTAGTGATGCCCTTGTCACAAATAGCGATGCCCTTTGTTCAACTTTGTTCCTGGTAGCTTCTTGTTATTAGTAGTTGTGCCAGGAGCTACTAGCAGCGTCCTTGCTCCGTTCGTAGCGATGCTCTTGTTTGGTTCAAGTCTCACGTTCCCTAAACGACATGGATGACACAGGCATCTCCGTGCCTTCAAAATCATGTGCCCCAGGCGACTCACTTGATTAATCTTGCAACGCTGATCAGATTCAACCTCTCCTTCTAACTCTCTGTACTGCTTCCGAATACTACAGTTTCGACTTAGGCACTTCCAATACATTGGCAAATTGAACTCTGAAGGCCGTACCTCCTCAGTGTCTCTCCACCAAAGCTGAAAGCGTCTAACGTGGCGACCGTCTGTCTTGACCCGGTGATCCACACGAACGTTGAACCGTGGAACGTCTCCGTGTCTACCCGTGTGACATGAGACATCGGCCATACGGTTTGGTCCGACCGTAGACGTTCCAAGAGAGGTTTCTTGAGACCAGAGGTTTCTTCGGACCCCAAACGTCTGTGGTACGGATGCGCGATAGATTGTCTAGGGGCTGTTCAACCTCTCTTGGTTCCCTATCGCGACACGGACAACGATCAGCTCAGCTCCGACCGGGCCTGACTCGATTTCTCTTCCGCGGCCGCCATGACTGCGATCCGTGCCCACAGCTTGCGATGAAGTCAAGCCCGTGCGTTGATCACATGGGACCGTGCCAGCGCGATACACGGAGATCTGGAAATCCCCAAGTTGACAAACGTGTTTTCCCAGTGAAGTGCCAGTGAAGTCACTTGAAGCTCAGATGGATGTGCATTTTGTATACACAAGTTACACAAGTGATAGGTATAAAGTAAGGTAAGCGATTTTCCACTAACCACTTCGACGTGCGCTGACGTGGGCTGCCTGAGAGGTTGTGTGTGACTCCAAGCAGTTGAGTGGATTGTGTTTCGTCGCCACCACACTGGATGAGTCAGTTTCTGATGCACATCGCCTGGTGCTGGTGATGTTGCTTCTCAATGTTGCCTGTGCGACCCGGATCCAAGCAACGGAGAATGGACAGTTCTGCTCTTGTCACAGGAGTTTGTGCTTTTGTTGTAGATTGGAAGTCATCCTGGACTATTTTGGGCATCCAACAACTTTCAAGCAGTAGTGTTGGATGTTGATTTCAAAACTGCTGAGAACCTGAGAACCTTCTTAGTACTCTTCTTAGTAGTAAAAGGATTGCTGAGAATATCTACAAAGAACCTTAGAAAGGAACATGAATAAGGACAATCTATGAAATGAACAGAATCGACAATGAATACTACAATCAATTGCAGAGGGAATCTTGCCAGGAATCCAGATTTGTTTTGGTGGTAGTTTATTCGGGGACCCTTTTTGTTTGGAGGAGGGGGGATTCTTTTTACTGATCAAGATCCTACATTCAGAGGGAAAAGAGTCACAGCAAGATGCTATTACTTCAGTGATTGAAAGGCCCCATATGCCTAGAATCTAGAATTGCCTACCTATTCCATTCCAAAGGACTCCCCCCCCAGAACACCGCCCAGGTAGACATGGAAGCATATGGACTATAACGGGATGGGTCAAAACACGGCCCAGGGTTTTGGTGAATGACCGTCTCGTCGGTCAATCAAGATATCCCCACAAATCCACTGCTTTTGCTGGTCATCACAGTAATTCACTGCTTTTTGCTGGTATTTTTATGGTTTTTGCTGATTCATCACACGAACGGGTCTGAATTTCCAGCCTCTTCTGCTTCCCGTCTGGCGACGGAAAACACCGTCGTCTTGCTTCCGCTGATCCCCACGGAGGTGGATGAAACCGCCAGCCCCATGGTACCGTGGTGTCTCTAAGATCTGCTTCGCAGCGGAACACACTGCAGAAGGGGGAACCCTTCTAGCTGAAACATGATAAGAACACATGTTCTAAGTATGAACATCATCCATTGGCCAACCATGTTTCCAAACTGTTCACAAGAAATGATTTCTCTGACGGTCTCAACGGTGTTTGCTCAACGAACGAACTTGACCATATTGGTGTTTCCCGACAAGGACGATGAACCCCAGTGCACCATTTGATTGTTCGCGAACCAATTGAACATGGGGTGGAGTCGCTGCTGTTAATGATGCCAGTTGCACTGGAAACGCAAACTCTCCGGCAGGTGACTTGCTGGTTAGTGGGTTCAAGTCACAGGGACGTAAGTGATGGTCAGTGGATTCAATCATGTCAAGTAAAAGGTCGAACATACAAAATATCCGATACCACCGCCCAGCTTCGCATTGGGTCGCTTGGAATCGCGTCGACCCAACTTCGGCACCCAACCACGCAATTTGACGCCGGCTTCGCGATGCAACAGGCTTCGCTACAAAGCCCACGCCTTCGACCCGACCGCTGTGAGACATCAGCATGATGAAAGCGTCTCATCCATGTGTGGGTGCATCATTCTCAGGAACAATGTTCGCTACTAGGGGCTCCTCGCCTTACTACTAGGAGCGTTCGGACGCTACGAACGGGGCTTTTGGCATTACTAGGAGCGTTCGGACGCTACGAACGGGGCTCCTGGCATTACTAGGAGCGTTTGGACGCTACGTTCGGGTCTCCAAAATCTGAACACGAAGCTAAAAATGATCCCATCTTCTGAGTGCTGCGACTCACACCCATTTTTGGGTGTCTCATCAAGTCGTACACCGCCCCGCCCCACACACGGAGGACCGGTCGGTCTAGGATTGCTCAGGGATGAGGCCTTGCTTCAATGCTTTCACCTCAGGCAATGAGGCGATTGAAAGCCTGATGAAGGCGTCATTTTCCAGGAGGTGCAGGACATCATGACATGATAGTGGTCCCTCCGGGTCCCTCATCGTTCTCCACGGAAGGGTAGTTGTTGGACTCCTATGCCACGGTTTCGACTCCATGGTTTCTACATGGATGCGAGAAGTGCGAACGGTGTGGGGTTGGAGAACGTCCCGTGGAACCCAAGGTGTGTAGCTTGGGTGTCTTTTGTTGAATGAAGAACTAGTAGTAAGAAGATGTAAGAAGCTATTAAGTTGGAGGCCATCGCTAGTAGGTTGGAGGCTAGTAATGTACATAACTGTTTTGAGGTAACAGCACGCCAAAACATCGCAAAACTGGTGGGTGCAACCCCCAAGGTATACTAACTAATGTGACGAATAAAGTCGCATCCAGCAGTAATCATAGATTGCAGTACCCATACACTCCATGGGACTGCCAGGACGGACTGCCGCCCCAGAAAGACCCCCCTTTTTCCACCACCCCTGGCCTGATCGGCCAATACGGTAGTCCCATGGAGCGTTTGCAGTATGTCGTGGTGTTCCATTCCATCCACAGTCCCTGTCTTGTCCAGCCAGCCCACCACATCAACCACGGTGTCGGAGTCTCCATGTTCCTGCGGCACAGGGACAGCACAGGAAGGGCACTGGCAGGTATTCTTCTTTGCTTTTCTTACCACATGAGCCGGAGGCCTACCTATGCTACTAGTAGCTCCTGGCATTACTACTAGGAACAAGAAGCTACTAGTAACAAAGGGCATCGCTACTGGTAACAAGGGGATTGCTACTAGGAGGAAGGACATGCAACCATGCAACCATGCATATTTTGGTGACGTTGGCGAACCAATTGGCGGGATTTTTATGCTCTGCATCACAGGTGATGGGCCATTGCAGCAAATGGAATATCACTGACCCAATACGCCAATATCACCCAGTGTACCTCTGCAAAGGGAGGGGGGGTTGTTCGGTTGAATTGTATATCTTTTGGACGGTTTGGAATGATCTGGGTGATGATTTTTGGATGCCCCAACATTGTGCTTCTTCTTTCGAATTTCTAGCATCGAACTCAATCCCCGCTGGAGAGCAGGACAAGAAATCCGCAGCGGCCCACTCATCAGCCGTCGAGATGGTTCGGTGGCCCAGCGCCATCGCTTCTGCAAGGGTTCCTTGATGTAGTACTTGTTGCCGTAGGTGTTTTGCACCTGCCTGGGAGTTTGGGAACTCTCAGCCCCCTGTTGCCTTGGATCAAATGCCTAAGGATTCACCAGCAAAACTAGCGGTGAGGGTTTGAGAACAACGTTCGGAGAGAGGTATACTGGTATACTTTCTAAATCCATTGGAACAAACATACGTAAAACACACGTTTTGAGACATTGTCAAATCAGTTTCGTTGGGTTTACCTGCTCCAACGGCAATGTTTTTTTATGTGTTTTGGAGAATCTTGTTCGCAAGGAACAAGTTCTTTGCATTCCCTCCTCGGGAGACTCCCACACTCTGATGGCCTCCAACCTATATAGACAAAAGCAAAGAAAATAACCTAATATAAAATTAACAAACCCAGAAGCAATGGCCTCCTCCCTACTAGCGATGGCCTCCAACCTAGAAGCGATGGGCTTCAAAAAGAGAAGCAAGCAAACACATAACTGAACTCTTCACCAATTGGGTTTGCAATCCCAGCTGTTCACCCTAGCCAATCCAACAGCTCCAGGTTAAACCCAGGTTACAAACACATCTCCAAGTGAAATCATCATCCAAGTCTATTGATACTTCGATCAGGTGGTGCGTGTTATATCATGTCATATCTAACTGCCCATAACTGGCCATAACACAAATCAAGTGTTTCTCAGCTCATTCTTGTCAAGTGATTATCACTGAACATCAATCCTTCAAGACTGCTAGTTTCAGCGTCGTGTCCCACCGCCACTCCGTCGTGTCCAACCGCCATGGGGCTTCCCAGGCCTCCAATAGCTTAAAGGCTTCCTCAACGCAAAGAGGTCCCTTCTCTTCTCAGGATCTCTGGAGTTTCCAGGGTTCTTCAGATGATGCACTTTGATTCAGCAACGACATCGTTTTCACCAGCTTTTCCCATCCCCCAGGTCTTCCGAGTGGGTTCTTGGACGGAAAGGACATCTTTTTTGAGGGGGGGGTCTATAAAACCACTCGAACTGGGCGGTGCTGCTCAATTTTGATGATTGCTTCGTGTTACAGTGTTGGGGGGAATGAGGGTTGCTTTTAGGGGTGTCTTCTGGTGATAATCATCCTAACGTGTCCTGAAAGGCTGTGCAAGAAACCTCTGCTGAGCGTGGACGTCCACGTGGAATGCAACATTTTAAAGACCTGGACGCATCACTCAACGAATTCTTGATTGACTCGAAGCTAAAGCTTGGGCCCTATCAGCAACTTACCCAGGTTGCACCTGAACCAAACAAACCAAAGTTCAGCTTGTCCTGTCGTTCAGATCGACCTGATTCCTGTCTCATCCAGAGCGCCCAAAGCATTTTTAGCCTAGAAACTTCTGTAGGCATCAATTCCGTCTGGTCCGTATGGTTCTTTGGAGGTAGAATCGCTCTTAGGTTGGAGGCCATCGCTCTTAGGTTTCCCTAGCTTCTATAGTTCTTTGGAGGTATACAGTAGTTCGTTTGCATCGCTCCCACGTAGGTCCAACGACATGGAGGACAACATGGAAGACGACGCGCACGAAACGGTGTTCTGTGCGCAGTCGGCCATTCTTCAGAAAGCGCAAGGTTCCAAAGATATCTCATGATCACCAATGATCACCTAACAGTCGCTAACATCCAAAAGAGCTGCCCTTGGCACTCCATTGAATCGCACGAGAAAGGAGCCCCAAACCGAACCGCATCCCAAACGAAACGGCCCCAACGAACCGGAACCGGTTCGAACCGCTACGTCACCGCTTCGCTCCACTGACTGACTGCTGACAGGTCTCATCAGTTCCACTTCTTGCCCAGCATTGAAGTTCACCACGGCCGTCTCACCCAGTCCACCCGTGTCGTGCACGTAGATCACCTGTGTCTCACGCGGTCTCGGCATCGCGAGCGATCGGAACGGGGCGAAACGGGCGAACGAAGCGACGAAGGGAGCGAGGACGCGACGAGTTTCTTCTTTTTCCACCTTTGGGGATGGATGGCGACATCTGGAAAGCATGAAGAATCATAATTGATCTGTGCTGGGTTTATTAGAAAAAGCCCAGTGGATGATGATTAGTATTACTGCCTTCTTCAAACATAGTGATTGCATACTTACAGGTAACAGGACAGACCCAATATATGTCTGTTGTTGTTGGTGTGACATCATAGACCTCATACCCATCCTGCTGTCTTGAAGCCTGAGGCCCTCTGCATCCGATCGGTAGTAGTAGTAGTAGCTTCTTAAGCTTGCTAGCTTACCTCGTTACTTCCTTCCTTCCTTACTTGCTTATGTCAACCATTTCTTCTAGGTTGGAGGCCGCTACTAGGGTGGAGGCCATTGCTCTTAGGCTGCAGGCTCTTCAGTTGAAGGACTGACGGCCCACTGTTCGCCTCACCGCCGACCGGCCCACTCCGACGCCTAACCCATCGGCACGCGACGTCCGACCGGGCCGACCGGGTCGACCGGGACCCGACGTCCGACGTCCGGTTCTGAAAAAGGAGGAGGTACCAAGCCGAAGCAACCGGAGGAAGACTGGGGAAACCCACTTCGTGTTAGCTTAGGCGTTATTAACCTTATGAGTGTCTGAAACATGTTCCATGCCCAAACTGTTGGAGTTCCAAAACTGGCGTCGCCAGCTTGGATGGGGAATGCCATTTAAGAGTTCGGTTGATCACGTGGACTCACGAGCCCAAGGAAAACATCTTCCGACATCATCCCCATGCCCCCCCACACCAAGGGGCTGTGCGAGCATCAGGCTTCCAATAGTCCTTGATCGCCAGTCCTCGAGCGTCGGGCGGCCGCAGTGCACCTGGTGTTTCTTCTTTTGGTCGACTCTGCCAGTGCTCTTCACAGTCAGGTCCCCAGCTGAAACATGGAAAGACACGAAGTAGCTCGAAGTCACATGACGCCGCCATAACAGCGGTCTCCTCTGCGTGGAAGTTCCAGTTGCGCCCAATGCACCCACCATTGACGGAATTTGCTTGGGGGCTCTTTACAAGCGCATGAGACAACCTTTTGGCTTCCGCATGGGCAAAAGCGAACCAAAGTTCAAACAATTTGCTTTGCACAACAAACAACAGCCGTTGATCCAAACACTTCGAAAGCTGCGCTTCGCTCCTCAAACCCTCCCGTCTGGCACTCGCGCTGTCTGACCGCGCGTGACAGGCGTGTCGCTCTCGCGTCTCCTGGCGTGTTGGGGAACGTCTGCGTGAGCACACGCAAGCGAACCTCTGCGGAGAACGTCGTGGGTCTTGCGACGAGATGGGCGGAGAAAGCAGCAGGCATGGCTAAATGCTTCCTGGCTCGTGAAACAAACTGTGGCACGGCAGTCGGTTCTGGGGGCGAATGCAACTTTGGTGCAAGTTCGACATAAACGACTTCATGCTCTACTCGTGCCTTGCGTATCATTCTGCATCCTCGCGCCAGTGAAACCACTCATCCTCACACCAATCCTGCAACTTGCCCATCCATCGCAACTCACCCTCATGCCCCATACTTGGAAACACTTCGTTAAGGACGGACGTAGCAGAATTGATCTATATAGAACCGCACTTTTCGAGTTTGGGACCGCTCTGTTTCCAAAGCGGCCAGGCCATGCTTCGATACAATTGAGGCAAAGCGAATCCATCCATGCTGTCTCACGGAAGAAGAGGGCCAGACAGCTGGTGAATACAAAAGACTCTGTCCGTTCACGAGTCCAATGGCTTCCTTGCTACAGCAGAAGCTGAAGTCTTGTAGTCCCTCGCGTGTGTTTGACACCCAGGTCCTCTCACGGACTTCTGCTCCAATGCAAGGAAATCGAAACTCGCGGGGGAGACAACTGGAAGCCCAATGGATTTCTCCGCGATCTGTGTGGAGTCTTACGCCTTTGCGATCCAAGGGAGTTGGTTTTTGTGTGGCCAAGACTGGCGAAAGTCACTTCAACATCTTTTTTCAATGTGCGTTCGAACCTCTCATGGTACAGAACATCAGGAACATCTGATTTGAAAGTATAGGACTACCGCGGATGCTACCCGTCACCTTCTCTCACAACCTCGCGATGTTTCACCACCTCTCGTCGCCGAACACGAAAGCACGACCACCGCGGCGTCCGTCACCACCGCACCGCACCTGGGCAGTCTTCTCGATCTCCGCGATGTCGGCGGCGAGCTCGCGCTCTTGGCTCGGTGTGAGGATCCTCGACGGAGGTAGACGCGGATCAGTCCCAAGTGACGTCGACCGCAACGAGTGACGGGGACGGTTAGACGGCCAGTCGAGCTCCCATAGGGAGATCCCGTACGCAAGTCCGACAGGGCGAGAGATTTGGCATCTTTTAGGAGACCGAACAAAGGGTATACGACAAAAGACCTATTGATTGAGTGGACCAGGAATCCAATCTCTTTCTTGGAGATCTATTTTGATCTGGAGTGACGAAGTACCTGTGTAGCTGCAGTTGTGTTGGATGCTTTCACTGCGACTAATCGAGTCCCACTCTGACTATGTATCCACCGGCCCGGGTCGCAACATACACGCTTTCTCGGAAGCCTGGAAGCAGCAAACGAGCACTGGTGATGACATGTACGTCCAAACGAACATACCCAAACACAAACGCGCCAATCACAACCTTCCGGAGCACGAGCATCGCAACATCACATAGCAGGAATTCCCCCCTTCACCTCAGAAGTGTTCCATGAAGGACCCAAGTTCTACAACCCATCTCTTCATCCATCCAAGCCCTACAATCATCTGGAATTGATGATGGTCCAGTGGTCCACGATCCAAGAGCAATCCATCTCTAAGATGGCCTCCGCCCATACCCCTTCTTGGGACCATTCCGCAGCGAAATCGACGATCTCTCCCACCACCGCACCGTGGAGACGCGCCTCGCCACGTCCCGGCCACCGAAACCCCCCCTGGCGGAACGACAACGAAAGCCCCCCTCCTGGCCACGTCGATCACCGGTGTGGAGGCGCCATCGGTCTTGGGGAGCAGTTCCGGGCGATTCACGCCTGGCCGCGCGGCCGCGCCAACGGAACGGTGCGCCGGCTGCCGTTCCGGGAGCAGTTGTGCTCGGTTGACGGTGTTTGGATCGGCGTTATGGCGTCAGATTGATGGTTACATTCGATGGAAATTGAGGAGCTCACCCATGGACTGGCCTCACGAATAACAATACATGTACCTGGAACCCAACTGACCTCTGTTTTGATAGGAAAAGGCCATATTTTGAGTGGTTGGTGGTCCAAAATAGAGGTCATTCAGGTTCTAGGTATATATTAACCCAGTGGATCCCAGTGGATCCACAAGTACGAAGGAACCAGGGGCCCTTCGGAACCGGTCGGACTGGTTTTAGTCGTTGCCTGGAACCACTGCACTGGGACTCCCAGCGAGCTCTCGTGGGTTGCCTGGATGCCATGGGTAAGACATATTCATTCAGGAATCGTGAGCTGTGGAGACCTTCAGCAGGCCCATCCTCACTAGGAGGAATGTCACCAGTGGGTGAATAAGGGTCGACCGAGTCTTTCCCAGAGATCGGTGAGGATGTTCTGCTCGAAGTTGCAGTGAACACGAGCAAGAACTGAATGTTGGATAGACGGGACGCCTCTGGGTGAAAGGCCTTCAGCCTTCTGCCCTCCGAAGCCCGCTTTCTCCGCTGCTAGGCTGGAGGCCATCACTATAGTAGGTTGGAAATGAACTTATAAACTAAAGAGTGGCCATCACTATAGTAGGTTGGCAATTACTAGTAGGTTGGAGGCTATCGCTGGGTTGGACATTAAGTTCAATAGAGGAACTGGGATGAGAAATAACATATAGTGATTAAGGGTTTTGCTTTCTATATTAACCCACTATATTAGTTATCACTATAGTAGGTTAGAAATTAAGCTAAACTAAAGAGGATTGTTAAACCACTTAAGTTGTTTTTGCTTTCTCCCTTTTCACCGCCGGCCTTCGGGTCTCCGCGCCGCGGCGGGAGAAGAAGCGTCGAGTCCCGCCGACGCGAGGAGTCCCGCCTCGGGCGGTGCATCGGTCTGGCCTACGCATGAAATAGAGCTACTAGGAACAAGTGCATCGCTTCTAGTAACAAGTGCCTTACTAGTAGTAACAAGAAGCTATTAGAAACAAGTGCCTTACTACTAGGAGCAAGAAGCTACTAGCTACACTCTGTCGAACACATCACATGGAAGTGGAAAACCGCCTTTGTAGAGGACAGTAGTCTTCTAGGGCCCCATTTTCCACTTAGTGAGTCAGAGGGTATATGAACTCCATAGAGGCAGGAAACTAGGCAGAATACGAGAGCTATGAACTCTATATACAGGCAGGAATTGACCTTCAAATCTTGAGATATCTTGAGTCGAGGCTTTTCAGAGATTTCCTGATGTCCTTCTACCATGCGATCAGGGTTTGACCGTGCTTTGACCTGTCCGTGACCGCATATCCCTTAAGACCAACTCCCGGATCTGGACGTGAGCAACGATGGGAAAGGATCAACAAGTCCTCTGTCAGACAAAAGAAGGACCAACACCAGAGCGGCTACCACCGGAAACATTAGGGGAACGCCTTCTAATCACGAAATGTTCAGAATGAAAGACTTGTCCACAAATATCTGATTATAGAATATGATAGATATCCATCAACAAAAACAAAACTGTCTTCGTTTTTCAGATCATCATAGCCAGATCGTGTTCCCACAGGCCGCCGAGCCAAAGAGAGCACGCCCCGGCGCGGAATCCTGGGTGTACCGATCTGAAACGATGGGCGTCTCGACGGGTTGAGATGGGTTCGGGGGCTCCCTGGAAAGGCCTCGGGATCCAAACCCAGGTCTCCTTGGGGTCTTGGAGAACATGACCTACTCCACTAGGAATCATTGACCCTCCAGTTGCGTCAAACAATAGATTGGCGTCAACACCATGCAGTTCTTGAGATTCGAACGATCCTTAGAGTGGGGTGGCCGCCGTGGACTCCAACCAAAGACCCGCGATGGGTGAGAAGTCAGAGGATGAGGAGTGTGCAAGTATCAATCTCTATCTGGTGTGACTCCGGTGTGACACGACCTCTTCGATCGGTCCATTGTGAGGGATGACATCCCAAGCCGGTCAAAAGAAACCAACACGCCGCTAGAAACGAAACAAACCTGCATAATTATTAAGTTGTGTGAGTATACATGCCTGGAACCCATTTGACTGTGTCTTGATAGGAAGAGACCATTATTTGGGTGGTTGGTGGTCCAAAATAGAGGTCATTCAGAAATTCCGGTTCTAGGTAGATTCTATTCAACGCTCTTGTTCAATGACCTGACCTTAACATTCCACCACAATTCTTCCACCTCTTAGTTTCCTTCAAGCTCACCGCTTGATGTCCTTATACCTGGAACCTGAGCTCGACCTCTGGACCACCAACCACCCAAAATATGGTCTGAACTTCCTATCAAAACAGAGGTCATGTCTCGGTTCCAGGCATGTACACTCACACGCCATGTCTTTTGCTAGGGAAAACCCCGGCTTTTTGATGGTTCACTGAGGGCCCCTCCGTACCTCCACGGTTTCCAATCGTACCGTACTGTGGCACAAACCGTGGCCGCGGCACCGAATTCCAGAGATGTCAGTCTAGCACACACAGCCGTTCTCAAGTCCCACAGCTGCATGGAAGTTGTTGGCTGAAGGATTTGCACAATCTGAAGGCATCCTTGCTCCGTTCGTAGCGATGCCCTTTGCTCCTAATTAGTAGCTTCTTGTTACTATTTCAGAATCAATGGGATCCTCCTCGCGAGCCCGGCGCTTGCTGATTAGATCTCATCAGCCCAACGTGGGGAGTTTGATCTCGAAGATGGGAGACCTCTACTCTTCCGACACTGGCTGCGCGAACTCGATGTTCTCTTCAAGTGCCAACCGTCTCTTTCATGAAGGCAATGGGCGGCCCGCAGGGGCAGTTCTTGTGGCAGCTGAGCATGTGCAACTACTTCAAGTCCTTCAAGCTCTTTTCATCCCATTGGTGTCTGTGACCTCTGGAGGCCTCCAACCTGCCCGAGGCTGACTTCAAGTGCCTTTTGGTGAGATATGGTCCATGTGCAAGTCAGTCCCCCGTTCACGGCGTTCACGAGCCCTTGGGGATACCAACGGGTGAACCGGCTGATCGGCTGATTTTTGGACCCACAAGTTTGCACTATCGGAATCACTCCCTGAAATCGTCATCGGAAGTGGAAAAAACCACCTCTTTGTCACGCCGCGAATTAAAGACAACCACGTGGCGACGAACGCACTGGGCTGCCAGCGTGACCAAGTTCCATGTCGCCTAGTCACTGTCGTCCGGAGACCAGGCAATCACGTGGGACACTGCGAAACGATGTCGACATGGAGATGGGAACCGGTTGCCCTGGGAATTACAGAAAGATACGTCTACAATGTCTTGCTGAAATGATGTACAGGTCCACCATTGGGTTTGGCAATTCCTTCACACTCCGTCGTCCAACTTTGTGATGTCGCCGACAGGAAGTGCTACACCATGGTCTGACACAAAAGTCCCATGGTTTGGACACCCAAACCGGTCTTGAGGTGCTTTGGGTGGCTGGAGCAAATCAGCAAGCATCTCAATACATCCAACTATTCACAATCCCACCTATCAAGAGAAAGAGAGGCAGATCTCCTAAAGAACGGAGAAATGTCCAGTACACCTTGATTTCAGTGGTGTCAGTCATTTCAATGGTTTGGGTCGCTCGCATGCTGCTGGTTGCCCTGCGGTTTCTTCACTCACTGCTCTTCAAGTGGCCGCATGGCTGCCAACCAGGGCCAGTAAGGCCATTATACATAGCGAGCCTCAGTGAGGATGGAGGCAATCACTAGTAGGTTAGAGGCCGCTGCTATTGGGTTGGAGGTCATCGCTAGTAGGTTGGAGGCCATTCCAATTAGGTTGGAGGCCATTGCTATTAGGTTGGAGGCCATTGCTATTTGGTTGGAAGCCATTGCTATTAGGTTGGAGGCCATCGCTAGTAGGTTGGAGGCCATTGCTATTAGGTTGGAGGCCATCGCTAG